CTCACTGACTCTCCAACCCACATCCACTGCCACTGTGCTGAAGGGAAGTTAAAGACTTTCTTCTGCACTTACATTTGCATCACCTCGATCCATGACAGTCATTCAGGCAGTAATGCCTGGACTGGAAACAAGCCATCCTTCAAATATTACAACGTTCGAGCTCCTGTGTTGGAATGAAAAACAAATGTGTTGTTTAAACTAGAGACTGCACTTGTGACAGAACAATAAATATGTTTATATTGATGATATCAGTAACTATAAAACAACGTTGTGGTAGGCCTAAACGTAGTTTCAGAATAATTAAATCTGAGACTGTGTTTCATTGTGAGATTATAACAGTGATGGCAATATAACTGTTTGATGTTCTGATGTGTCTAGGATTCTGTTGTTCAGAGCCCACAGAAGATATTCAAAGTGTAAATTATGTTATTAGGCATCTACTTAAAAGACCTTTGTGTGTTTCTGCCAGAGTTTCGGTCGTTAAAAGTCAAAATGGAAATCGAGAAGAGGACAAAGACATGCTGTGGAAGAGAGACAGAGATTAATAACAGATATGATTCAGTGCAGAGAGGTCTGTTAACACATAGTGAGTGAAGAAGAAACACCCAGTGCATCATGGGAATCCCCCGGCAGCCTACACCTATTGCAGCATAACTAAGGGAGGACTCAGGGTCGCCTGGTCCAGCCCTAACTATATGCTTTAGCAAAAAGGAAAGTTTGAAGCCTAATCTTGAAAGTAGAGATAGTGTCTGTCTCCTGAATCCAAACTGGAAGCTGGTTCCACAGAAGAGGGGCCTGAAAACTGAAGGCTCTGCCTCCCATTCTACTTTTAAATACTCTAGGAACAACAAGTAGGCCTGCAGAGCGAGAGCGAAGTGCTCTAATAGGGTGATATGGTACTACAAGGTCATTAAGATAAGATGGGGCCTGATTATTTAAGACCTTGTATGTGAGGAGCAGGATTTTGAATTCTGGATTTAACAGGAAGCCAAAACAGGAGAAACCTGCTCTCTCTTTCTAGTCCCTGTCAGGACTCTTGCTGCAGCATTTTGGATTAGCTGAAGGCTTTTCAGGGAGTTTTTAGGACTTCCTGATAATAATGAATTACAGTCGTCCAGCCTGGAAGTAATAAATGCATGAACTAGTTTTTCAGCATCACTTTGAGACAGGATATTTCTAACTTTAGAGATGTTGCACAAATGGAAGAAAGCAGTCTTACATATTAGTTTAATATGTGCGTTGAAGGACATGTCCTGGTCAAAAATGACTCATATTTGCATTCAGTGTTATATTAATATAAGTGTTATTCTAGAAATTTCAACAATGATAAAAAAAAAGTTACCACAAATTGTTTTTAGTTTAGTAGAACTTGAAATGTTTGTCAGTTTGTAAACAGTCAGATGCATCAAGTTATTCTTAGATATGCATACTTGTAATAAATAAACTGTCCTAACATAGTTCTCATAAGTAAGTTTAGCTTTGTTTTTTAGTTTTTAACCATCATATTCTAACGTGACATAACCCGTGTAAACAAGTTTGAACATCCCATGATGTGCGTGTGGGAACGCCTCAGTGTTCCCTGGAATAACGGCTGCTGTTCCACAGAAAGCACAGCAGAGGTAATGTTATGGTCCACCGACACTCCCACACTGCCCTGCAGCTCTGAGTTGTGTGTCTTACACCTGTGACATGTCTGTTTTATGGCTTCTGTCCTTCAGAGTAATTATGAGTGTTGATGAGGATCGTTTAGATTCCTCTGGTGTATAAACACATTTTTCATTCATGCTTTATTTTCTCCAACCTTTATGACAGCCCAGCTACAGACAGCTGCGACACCAAGTGATCCTTTGATGTGATTAACAAACGTGCAGAGCAGAAACCGTGAAACTCGTTAACAGCCTGTGCCGTGGCAGCGCATGCTCCAGCTGTTTTTACACTGCTGTATTTTCTGTTTATTGCATTTCCTTTGATTACAGACCTTATCTCTCAGTATAATATTACTGCTATAATGGCTGCAATCACAGCATTGTAAGATGGTGACAGATGTACCCTTAGGCCCCTCCTCGATTCAGAGATGGTCTTTCCCTTTTCACGTAAATGGCCTCCTTGACTCCGCCCTCAAACCAGCGTTCCTCCCTGTCCAGGATGTTACATCCTCATCATTGAAAGAGTGTCCACTGGCCTGTAGGTGTAAACAGACTGCAGAGTCCTGGCCTGGTGAGGTGGCTCTTCTGTGTTGTGCCGTCCTCTTAGCCAGAGGTTGTTTGGTTTCCCTGATGTATAAATCCTGCCAGTCCTCCTGCACTTAACAGCATACACTATGTTACTCTGTTTGTGTCGGGGGACCCGATCCTTGGGGTGGACCAGTTTTTGGCACAGCGTGTTTTGGGGTTTAAAAGCCACAGAGACCCGGTGTTTAGAAAAAATGCGTCTCAGCTGCTCCAATACTCCTGACACGTACGGGATCACTACAGGTTTTCACTTGGGCAGCGGTTGTCCTTCTCTCCTGGATCGGAGCTTTCTTTAGGAGCCTTCCCAGCTTTGACAAAAGTCCAGCTGGGATAACCACATTTACTCAGGGCCTTCTTGATGTTCTTCTGCCTCCCTGGCTGCTGTGTCAGTGGGGATGGTGTTCGCTCTGTGTTGTAGCGTCCTGGTGACGCCCAGTTTGTGCTCCAGTGGATGATGAGAGTCAAACCTTAGATACTGATCCGTGTGTGTAGGTTTACGGTACACGTCAGCTTTTAGATGTCCCCCATTACTGATGGAAATCTCACAGTCTAAGAAGGCTAACCTGCCACTGTTCATATCCTCCCTGGTGAATTTGATGTGTCGGTCCACCGAGTTAATGTGATCCATGAAATGTGGCACGTCCTGAGATTTGATTTTCAACCCAGGTGTCATCCACATACCTGAACTAATGGCTTGGTGGTGTTCCAGGGTAGGATAGCAAAGCCCTCTTTTCCACTTCTTCCATGTACAAATTGGCCACGATGGGTGAAACTGGGGAGCCCATGGCACACCCATGTTTCTGCCTGTAGAACTGACCCTTGTATGTGAAGTAGGTGGAATGAAGACACAGTTCAAACACACACTGTCGATGCTGAGAGCGGTCCTGTTGCTGAGGTTGGGGTCATCCTGTAATCTCTTACGAACTACCTCCAACGCTTCTGTGACTGGGATGCAAGTGAATGGATTGGATTTATATAGCGCTTTTCAAGGCACCCAAATCACTTTACAATACCACTATTCATTCACTCTCACATTCACACACTGGTGGAGGCAGCTATGGTTGTAGCCACAGCTGCCCTGGGGCAGACTGACAGAAGCGAGGCTGCCATATTGCGCCATCGGCCCCTCTGGCCATCACCAGTAGGCGGTAGGTGAAGTGTCTTGCCCAAGGACACAACGACCAGGACAGAGAGAGCTGGGGGAACGAACCGGCAACCTTCCGGTTAAAGAAGAGAGATGTAACGTCGTACGAGACCATGGTTTCATCTCCCTCCATAATGACATCTCTCACCTTCTCAACACAATCCAAAGAGTTCTGGATGTGGTGTTCAGAGCTGTCCACCAGCAGGTTGAGAATTGAAGCCAGAAACTTGAAGATGTTACAGGTAACGGAGTTGATCATGCAGACAATCGGTCTTAAAGGTGCTTCCTGGTTATGTATCTTCAGTAAACCATACAGACTTGGTGTAGACTCCCCTGGGTACAGCCTGTGCTATGAGGTCCGGTCAACAGCCTTGTCTCATTCTAACAGCTTCAGATGGTCTATCACCCTCTTCCTGTATATAATAGATATATGTTAGCTCCCTTGCAGTGTAAGGCTCGAGTAGTACCCCAGCTGTTATTACACGAGGAGCAGAAACGTGCTTTATTGAAAAATATTTGAGGTTCCATCTGCTGGGCCGCATTAGACCTTTGGCAGGTCAGATGTGGGCTCCTGGCCCCATGTTGGACACCCTGTTATTTGAGGAGCTCACTGTGATATTGTCACGTTTACCTTTACATGAGCTTCAGCTGCTTCTAGCTATGACGGGATTAGGACTGAGGCGTGTTACCTCATGGCTCCCTGCTGCACCGGGTTCTGGTTCTGAGATCACTCAGGGTTCTGCAGAAGACCGTCTGTCCTACGAGCAGGTGAGCGATCCTCGAGCCGAGAGAAGTTCAACGGCTGTTTTCGAGGTGCTGAGAGATCAAACTCAAAGTATCAGTCTGATAACAGGTGGAACAAATTTATTGTCTTATTACCATCGAGGTTGTTTTTATCTGGAATCGCCGATCAGCATCTGTGATTTACCTTTGTGCTAACCTTTGGAGCTTTTTACCTGCAGACTCGTGTTTATCAGAGAGATAAGAGCCGAGCTGCTCTGAGCTGTCAGACTGTCAGAACAGACACTTTCTCAGAAGCTCCAACTCCAGGTGAGTCGTGTCTTTATGCTCGTCTCGCGCCTGAATGTGAGCGTTTGTCAGACGTGAGCTTGACGGAGACTCAGAGACGGTCACCTGCTTTAAAAGATAATAATCATTTTCATCTGCAACAAATAAATCAAAGAAATCATATAAAGTTTCCTTCCATGTGTAGCTGGAAACATTTGTGAACTCTTTTCTATATTTCCCCAAAAAGCAGAAAAAGAGAAACAAAGTAAACAAACAGAAGGAAAATTGATTGATTGATTGATTTAATGAGCAAAATGATCCGAAGTGTCTGATCTGTGAAACCTCGCTGCTGGTTTCTACTCGTGGACGGACTCTGGCTGTCTGACCTTTAATGGAAAAACCTGATGAAGGTCTGAGGCAGATTTATGGAGTCTGGTCTTTAGCCTGATGAGCATCAACCGCTCTGAAGTCATCAGACAGACGGATTGTTGTTCCCATGATTCATTTCTTCAAACATGTTGAGAAGATCCGACTCTGAAATTCTTCTTCTTGTATTATCGTGTTTTTGATGATATGAAGCTCTGAAAGGTGAAATCATTTCAGTGTGTTTCCTACAGACAGAATGGGAAGCAGGAAGTCGCTGTGCTGTGGGTTTTCAGCTCTGGAAGTGACGCTCGGCGTCATCTTCGTCGTTATGACCGGCGTGTGCATCTCGCTGGTTGTACTGTACGTTACCAGGGAAACGCACGCAGGTGAGAAACTGCTTGATAAAACCTCAGATGTTCATGCTGTCATGTACTCGGAGCTTTGTCGACTTTGTTCCGACAGCGTGTTTGGAGGACGGACGTCCTTGGTTCTGGTCGTCCGTTTGTCTGTTAGCAGTCTAGCGTCCTCAGTTTTCAAGATAAAATGTAAAAATTTTGTGTGATGGTAGATACCAACAACAGCTCGAGCTGATTTCACTGTGGTGATATTGAGTCAGGGTCAAAGGTCACAGCAAATATGAAAATGAGTAAAAACTGTGTTACCCACAATCTTTTAAGAATTGTCTTCAATCTTCACCACAACGGTCCCGGGGACACGAGTGCCCACGCTGGTCAAACATTTGACCTTCATTGTTAGTGTCGAAGGTCAAAACTGACCTGGAAAAACCTTGAGAACCATATGGAGTCAATGTCGTATGAAAGGGCGTTGAGATAGCTGACCAGCACTTTTTATTGTTTTAATGTGACATCATAATCGCACACTGCATGAATATATCTTAAAACCTCAAGTTTGTGCAGTTTATAGAAGCCAAAGATAAAATGCACCATTTTAGTCACAAGGTCACAGGTCAAAGGTTAGGGTCAGGTCAGAGCGGAGCTGTCCTCTGAGTGCTTGTTAATGCTAATCAACATAACAGTTAATAGGAAACTTTGTTCGTGCATAAATGTCTGTTTTATGTTTCAGCAGCTATGATTCAAATTTCAGGAGCAAAAAACATTTGCAGGAAAAACTGACCATCCAACGGCTCGACACGCCCGACCAACTGTTACTATGGGGACGATCCTAAACACCCATGTTTACAGACCGGCACCTTTAAGAGCGCCACATGAACACAGATGTGCAATTTACTTCCTGATTGAGCTTCTGCTTTTATGTGATTGGTCAGATTCAGTGATTTGTGGCACAAACTGCTGTCTGATTATAAAACACTGAATCAGGTTCATTCTCAGTGTTGTCACAGCAGATCTAAAGTATGAAAATATTACCAACATCTGAGGTCGTAATGAATTCAAATCTGTCGTCCTGTCAGATCCAGAGACTCCGCCCCCTCAGCACACACCTTACCTGATCGGCGTGGGCCGAGCCGACTGCACCGGACCGCCGGCTGATGTCCCTATGGTCAGTACCACAAACTCACTCATGCTGCCTTCAGGGACTCGTGCTGCGTTTAACATGAAGTCACCCATATGTGCACAGAACTGTGCAAAAGTCTTGAGCCACAGCTCAGTTCTTTATGCTTTGCTTCTACAGAGGCAGACCTTGTGGTTATTTTTAAAGTGCTGTTGAGCAACAGTTCTCCGGGCTCCTGCAGGTGGGTCACAGCTGTTCTCTGGAGTTCTTCTTCAGAACTTCAGAGAACAGCTGGGGAAGTAACAGTTAGCCAAGTTACTGTTCATTTTTTTCCACGTTAACAATATACGAGCACAACTTCTCGTTCTGAAGAGATGATCTCAGTGTCAGCACACATCCAGCTGGTGGCGCTCATAGTCAGTAGTTGCTGCTGCCTCTGTAAGCCGCTTTGCAGCCCACCTCCACCCGATCTCTGCCATTTAAACTATTTCTGATTCCAGCAGCATCAGAGCTGCTCACTGGAAGCTGCACCCGGGACCTTCACAACTGAATGACATTCCTCAACTTCAACCAACCACAGGCGATGGGAATTGGGCGGATCCAGCCGTAAACATTTCTGAACTTCCTGTCAAGCAGACCCAGAACTCTGACATGTAAATGAGTGCAGATGAAAACAGCAGCAGAGGACCTGCAGAGAACAAACTCCAAAGTCTGCCGCTCCGGTTCGACTGGGTGTGCTTGGACTGATAATCTTTATGGTCTAAGTGCCGAACGCTGAGCGGTCATAAAAACATTAGTGAATAGGAACATATAGAGTCTGTTGGAAGCAGCAGGATTATCGTCTGTAAAACCTTGTCTGTAATCTGGGTTCTGGCATGAAACACATCCTATAGCCAGCATGACTTTCATCGTCGTAGAAGGCAAAGACACACAGATCACACTCTGTGTGAGAATGTGTGTGTGTTCAGGTACCACAGTCACATTTGTGTGAACGTCTGTGATCCTGCAGACGCGAGCTGCCCACTCACACTTTAACAGGAACATAAACAACTGTGAAATCACTGTGAAACTTCATTAATCTCACCTGCTGAGAAGGTTTTAATGTGTGTGTTTAGATGGGCTATGCAAACCCTCAGCAGACGGCTGCAGGCATACACACCCGTTTGTACAGCAGAGCCTTCATCGTCGATGACGGCAAGCGCAGGGTGGTGTTCGTCACGGCAGACATAGGAATGGTTTCACAGAGGCTCCGACTCGAGGTGACCACACACACACACACACACACACACACACACACACACACACACACACTCACACTCTATTCAAAGTTTTACTTTCTGGGCTGAAGCGGGTCTCCTCAGCAGATCATCTGCCTCCACTTCCTCCTATCCCAGCATCCTCCTCTCTCTCACCCACCGTCTGAATGTCCTCCTTCACTACATCCATCTCCTCTGAGGTCTTCCTCTCCTCATCCTGCCTCCATCCTCCACCCTCCCTCCTCTGCACGTGCTCAGACCATGTCAGCCTCTCTGACTCTGAGCGGTCCCTCTGATGGACTTCTTCTTTATGACCTGCATGTTTATCAGAGATTTTACACTGAATCTCTTCCTGATACAATCTTTCCCATTTATCTGGGTCTGGGATCAGCGCTGGGAGCCCCCGCCCCTGCTGGGTGTTACCTCAGCTAACCTCACGCTGTAGTTTCACCGCTGTTCTTATTGTTCTCAAGGATGACGCATCGACATCATCAGAGAGTCTTAAAGGTCTCACAAATGTGTGGAGACATTATCCTCTGATCGCTGCTGTGTGTGCTTGACTTGTACATCTGTCTTTGTGGGGACCAGTGTGTCTCATGTTAGAGGTCTTCACAAAGCACACAAAGCAGTACGTGTGTGTGTGTGTGTGCAGGTTCTGCAGGCACTGCAGGTGAAGTACGGGGATCTATACCGGCAGGACAACGTTGTTCTGAGTGGGACTCACACTCACTGTGGACTCGGTGGATATTTCCAGTACACGCTGTTCATGATCACAGGCGGTTACATGAAGGCTGCCATCGAGCCGTTGGTCAACGGCATTGTTAAGGTGTGTGTGTGTGTTTTTTGATGGACCACAGTAAACTCCCACACATTCCTATGTGTTCCTAATCAGTTCTTATTCTTCTACCCAGCAAAGACACACTGGGTAGTTCAGGGGGGATGGAGAATGCACTTTTACATGATTACTTTTATTAGAAATGTTTATCTGTCAGGGTAAGGTCGTACCGATGAACTGTGTACTCATAATTGAAACCCTGATTCCAGAGTATAGACATAGCCCACAATAACATGAAGCCCGGCAGGGTCTACAGGAACAGAGGAGAGCTGGACGACAGCAGCCTGAACAGAAGTCCTCACTCGTACCTGAACAACCCCGAGGAGGAGAGGCGCAGGTAGATAATAATGAATGATTTATCGGTTTGTTTCTATCAGTACATCCCTGCAGCTCTGCTGTCGCTTCTATAGATCAGCTCCACAGCATAAGGAGAGCCGTTCTAGGCTTTACAGCCTGAAGACATGCTCTCCTCTGTAAAGCTCAAAGCTTCGTAAACTCTCACAGAGACAGGCTGCTGGAAACATCTGTAGATCTTCACCTGCACTGCTGCCACGCGATTGGCTGATTTGATCAGGTGTTCGTGTTATTGATCTTTCAGGTATAAGTGGAACACCGACAAACAGGTGCTGGTGCTGAAGTTCACCGATCAGGATGGAGACGGCATCGGTATGATCAGGTACAAACGCACACAGCACTCCTTCAATAATGCTGCCATCGTTTGTTACCATCATTATTCTCACTGAGCTTTGCTGCTGACAGCTGGTTTGCTGTCCACGCGGTGAGCATGAACTACACCAACCGCATGGTGAGCAGCGACAACATGGGCTACGCCTCCTACCTGTTGGAGCAGGACAAGAACCCCGGAGGGCTACCTGGACAGGTAACCTGAAGAGGTTGCATCAAAGCCCGACCACAGTCTCAGAGTTTGTGATTTTTAACATAAACTCAGTAAAAACCAGAAACCAGAAGATAAAACAAGCAAATTATTTTTTGCATTTTTGGTCATTTTGGTAACAAAGTGTTTGAAAGACGAGTTTCCAGCTGAACATTTACTCGTTATGGTTTATTTGGGTATATAATTAAAGTTTTTCTTTGTGTGTGTGTGTGTGTGTGTGTGTGTGTGTGTGTGTGTGTGTGTGTTTCAGGGAAGTTTCGTTGCTGGTTTCTCCTCCAGTAACCTCGGTGACGTCACTCCGAACACCAGAGGACCGTACTGTGTGAACACTGGGCTGCCCTGTGACTACCTGAACAGCTCCTGTCCCATAGGAGGGGTAAATACACAACACACACACACACACAGACTCGTTAAGATAGTTAATAAATCGCAGAAGGAAACCGATAAATGTGTGTCTGCCAGACTACAATGTGTCTGGCGTCCGGACCTGGAGAAGACATGTTTGAGAGCACTCGGATCATCGGACACAACGTCTACCTGAAAGCCAAGGTACGTGTGCCTCGTTTCAGAAAACAACACAGCGTCACGTAATGATAAAAAAATCTGACAAGCTTTGTGCTTGTATTCACTGCCATATCGGGACGTGTGTCGGTTAGGAGCTTTGTGGGGACTCACTGCTTATGGGGACAAAAGTCAGACCCTCCAAAGATTCATTGTTTCTCTGTCTTGACTTTGTCTTTGCTTCATGAATGTTCCTTTAAACCTGAAAGGAATCCCATTAGCATCCCCACGAGTGACAAAGTCACGACTGTGTGCTTGTTGCGCTGCCCCCTGCAGGAGCTGTATGCAAATGCAGTCGAGGAGGTGACCGGCTTTATTCATCATGCTCATCAGTGGGTCAACATGACTGATGTCACTGTTCAGATCAATGAGACACACACGGTCAGCACGCACACACACACACACACACACACACACACACACACACACACACACACACACACACAGATTAAGAAATTTAGATTAGAAATTTTATTCATAATAATTAAAATTTGATGTCATGTTTCCCAGGAACAAATTTTTAATCGTTTCTTCATTCATTCATTTTACAGACATGTTTTCTCTTGTTCTGCGATGTGTGGGACAAACAGCAGCTCCTAACAGATAACTCAGCTTCTTTTAATGTGTTAGTTTCTTTTTAATGTGAACACAGGGTAAAAACGCCTCACAGAGAAAAGCTGTGGCAGCACGTTCCTGCTTCTGTTTCACATAGAAGCTACGCTGTCTGTGTTTCAGGCGAGCACATGTAAACCAGCTCTGGGTCACAGCTTTGCAGCAGGAACAACAGATGGAGGCGGAGGCCTGAACTTCACCCAAGGTGATTCTGTCCCTCAGCTCACATTGGGCTGCAAGCCTGCTGAGATGGGCTGTGATAACCTGACTGCGTATCTCTGTGCATGTAGGCGCTGTGGAAGGAGACCCCTTCTGGGATGGGATCAGAGACGCTTTGCTTGGCCCACCGTCCAATCAGACGAAGGAATGTCATCATCCCAAACCAATCCTGTTCAGCACAGGGGAGGTGAGGCGAGGCTCACACGTACAAAATACAGTCTGTGATGAACATGGATCCAACATTTATGCTATCGCGTCAGACAATGACCCACAGTCAGTGTATCACTACAGTCTGACACTAACACAGGTTATGATGCTTCATCCAGCTCCCCACAGGCTTGACTTTAAGTTTCAGGAAAGAACCTGGACTGTAAATCTGGACTGTGAGGTCCAACTAGCTCAAACCCTAAAGAAAGTTGGGCTTAAAGAGAACAGGGCTCAGAACAAATCTACTAGAAGCAGGTAAAACCTGAGAGGTGGATTGAATAAAATAAAACGGGTAAAGAGGCTGTCGTGGTGTGTTTGTCTGTGCAGATGAACTGGCCTCTGCCCTGGCATCCTCAGATCGTCGACGTTCAGATGATCACCATCGGCTCTGTGGCTGTCGTAGCTGTTCCTGGAGAAATGACGTAACGACGTTTTACCGACAGCTGTTAATGCAGCCAATGATAACACAGCTGCTTATAACACAGTAATAACACTCTGCTGCATATATGTGTGTTTTTCTTCAACAGCACCATGTCAGGGCGGAGGTTACGAGAAGCTATCAAAGGGGTGAGAAACGACACATCAACACTTCATATGAAAACAGTTCTTATTACCGAATCTTCACAGGTCACATCACTATGTTGTTACCGTGTTATAACCAGTGTTGGTCAAGTTACTTGAAAAAAGTAATCAGTAACTAATTAGTTTAGCGAGTTTCTCTGTGAGTTTCCCATTACGTTGTTGCGCACTCGGTGCTTACTTACTGATTACCTATTTTCAAAAGTAATTAGTTACTTAGTTACTTTTTAAAAACACGATTTACAACCTGAAGAGGTGATAGAGCGATAGATCTTTCAGCCCAGTTCTACTTTTTCTACATAATCATCATACAAAATGTAATCAAATGGAAAAGTCTCTTTTTAAAACTTGTTTTATTAGTTTTAATCTTTTAACTTTATGCATCAAGCAAAAATTAATTATATGCGACATTCTCTGACTGGAAGAAATTAGTTTAACATTTAAACCTATTTTCTGCACATTCCAGCTCATAAAATAAAATATTTTTTGTGTTTACACTCAGTCTTTCAAATAGATGCAAGTAAAACACAGCAGAAAATAAATAAAGTCAAAGACTCAGCGGTCCTGTTGCTCTATTTTCACCTGTAAAGCAGGAGTGGGGCAGGCGGAGGTTTACCCTGGTGCAGGTGTGCCGCGGTCAGTGGAAGAATCCGCGAGTTTCTCTGTGAGTTTCCCATTACGTCGTAGCTACTCGGTGCTTGTTGGAAGTTTAGGGGTTTTTTCGCTGTAAAAAGAAGTTTTCTTCCCACGCTCAGCGGACACTAATGTTTTTGTCACTTTTTATGGAATCAAACTCAAAGTAAGGTCAGTACTTCCACGCTTTAAACGCTGCACGCTCATACTCTCTCTGCACTTGATATATGATCCACTGTTGATCTGCACACAGCTGTTGTCACGAACGTCGCACTCGCTTACGTCACCGTCGTGAGACATTCTGCAAAAAATCACGGTTTCAGTAACGCAGTAACGCAGCGTTCCTACGGGAAAGTAACGGTAATCTAATTACCGTTTTTGCAATAGTAATCCCTTACTTTACTCGTTACTTGAAAAAAGTAATCGGATTACAGTAACGCTGCCCATCTCGGATTATAACTGTGTGTTTACTGTGTTGTTGTTACTGTGAGCCAGGAGCTGGAGTCAGAGGGAACTCTAAAGGACATGGAGGTGGTGATTGCCGGCCTCAGTAACGTGTACACTCATTACATCACCACCTATGAAGAGTACCAGGTACACATCTGCTGAACTTCATAGGATTTGTAGTTTTTAGAGTCATTTGCTAAATTGTAAAATCCAAATCAGTGTTTAAATAAGATCAACTGGACATAAAACAGTCAGATTTGGAGAAAGTACTCAGTTACTTAAATGAAATATCAGAGTAAAATTAGTAAGACGGTGGAAAGCAAACCTGTGTAAATGATTACAAACTTTTAAAGGTGTCCCTGTGGTGGTTACACTGTTCCTGTGATGCCAACAGATTATCATCACATCTAAACATGAGTTTCATAGCAGGGAGGGAAGTAACGATTATTTTCATTCTTCATTAATCTGTTCGTAGATTTTTAATCAATTGTCTAATTAATAGACACAGACAACCATTCACACCTATGAGCAGTTTCTATTTAGCCTGTCCCCACAAACTGCATGTCTTTGGACTGTGGGAGGAAGCCGGAGTACCTGAAGAGAAACCCACTTAAACACGGGGAGAACATGCAAACTCCACACAGAAAGAGCCTGGCCTGCCCGTGGAATTGAACTCAGGACCTTCTTGCTGTGAGGCAACAGTGCTAACCAGCCTCCCGGACAGCTGCAGCAACAATCGGTTTGCATAACCAAAGAATTTCTGCAAAAACTGTCAGAAACCGTCTCAGGGAAGCTCATCTGCATGCTCGTGGTCCTCATCGGGGTCCGGACCTGACTGCAGTTCGTCATCGTAACCGACTCGAGTGTCGCTCACATTCGATGACGTCTGGCACATTGGAGAGGTGTCCTGTTCACAGATGATTTTACTGCTCAGGGCAGATGGCAGACAGCTTGTGTTGCCTCGTGTGGATGAGCGGTCTGCTGACGTCAACGTTGTGGATTGAGTGGCCCGTGGTGGCGGTGGATCCTGAGGACCATTGTTGTGACATTTATCCGTGACCATCACCTCATGTTACAGCGTGATAATGCACGGCCCCATATTGCCAGGATCTGGACATCTGGAAGCTGAAAACATCCCAGTTCTTGCATGGCCGGCATACTCACCCATTGAGCATGTTTGGGGCGCTCAGCGTATACGACAGCGAGTTCCAGTTCCTGCCAATATTCAGCAACTTTGCACAAGTGTTGAAGAGGAGTGGACCCACAGCCCACAATCAACAACCCGATCAACTCCATGCCCATTGCACACCTTTTGCCTCACGCAGGCAACACATCTCCATTAGATGTGTTGCCTGCGTGAGGCAAATGGAGGCCACACCAGATACTGACTGGTTTTGCTACATCTGTGTGATCAAACTGCATATTTCAGAGTGGCCTGTTATTGTGGGCAGTCTCAGGCGCACCTGTGCAATATTCATGCTGTCTAATCAGCGCCTTGACACACCTGTGAGGAGGGATGGATGATCTCAGCAAAGGAGAAGTTCTCACTCACACAGATTTAGACAGATCTGTGAACAACATTTGAGAGTCATGGCTCCTTTGTGTTTGTAGAAAATGTTTCAGATCTTTGAGTTCAGCTCATGAAAAATGGGAGCAAAAACAAAAGTGCTGTTTATATTTTTGTTCAGTGTATATGTGTGTGTGTATATATTAATGGACATTTAGCAGGGTGGAAACTTAGTCTGATTGTCTATTTTTCAGGTGCAGCGGTATGAAGGCGCTTCAACCATATACGGCCCGCACACGCTCAGTGCCTACCTGCAGAAGTATCGAGGCCTGGCCCGAGCCATTGCTCAGGTGGGAATGGATGGATTACACCTTTCATCAGCATTCATGAGCACATTGGAAACACGGGGTCACGTTTCCCTCAGAACAGTTAGTGAAAGAAAACGAGGTCAGCCCACAGAGCTCAGTTTAAACAGCAGATTTTTCACCAGTTTATCTGAAACGAGCTGCAGTGTGAGACCGACTCTCTCTCTCTGCCAGAGAAACACGAGCAGAAGAATATTTCATCACAGGAATTATTCTGTAACGTTGCTTACATGTTACTTACTCTAGACAAAAGAAAATCACAGGAAAATCTTTTCCAAATATAAAGATGATGGAGATAAAACATGAAACTGAACCAAAGTCAGACGGCTAAACGTCCGTCAAACTCATATTCTGAACATGTTTTACTTCATGTGAGGTGGAAACAGATGAAACAGTGAAAAGGTTCCATCAGTCAGGACACATTTCGCTGCGTGTTGTACTCGCATGTGACACATAAAGACTCCTGAATGAATGAATGAGGTTGCAGCAGAAATATTTCATAAAGCCAGGGCCAGTCGGATGCAAACAGTCAACAGCAGACCCTCACTGCAGTGTGAAGCCAATCCTATGTAACACTGCTTGCTGACATTAATCGTGTTTCCAGGACAGAGTCTCAGAGCTGCCAGCCGGCCCTCAGCCTCCCTTCTTCACAGAGAACCTCTTTAATTTTGTGCCCCTGGCGCTCTTTGACAGAAAACCTGAGAATATGAGCTTTGGAGACGTCCTGGAGCAGGTTTACCCCGTTTATAGACAGGTAGGAAACACTCTTACTGTGTTCCTCAGGGTCCACGCTGATGACGCCGCTCTGTGTGCATGTGAGTCTTAAATATTTAATGTGGTTTTCAGGGTGATGTTGTGACTGTCACGTTTGTAGCAGGAAACCCGAGAAACTCTGGAGATATTGTAAGAACTCTTCTTCTTCATCCACCTGTATCCTAGTGTTTCAGCCACTGTTAGCTTAGCATTGTTAGGATACTTGAAACGTCTTTCTGACCTCTTCCTCTCGTTTGTTGCAGAGGGATAAAACTTTTGTCACTGTTGAGATTTTTGACAACAGAACAGAAACCTGGGAGGTTGTCCACAACGATGCATCATGGGAGACCAGGTAGATTAATGTGTAGCTGTGCATCTCAAAAATCTGATCAGGATTTTAAAAACAACAAAAAAACCTTCTTCTGTAATTTTATTTTAAAAAAAGGTCGACAGCTCATGAAATTCAGCAGAAACCTGATTTTTAGAATATTTCCTTTGGTCAAAAAAGGATTTATACACTCAGTACTTGGTTTGAGTACCTCGTCAGCCTGCGGTGCTGCTGACGGGTTACTGAAGCTCGGGTTGCTTTGGTTGGAGCTGGTCGAGTGTTTCTCGTCCACTCCAGACTTTCTGATTGTGTCTGCAGGGTTCAGGTCAGGTGAGTTTCCTGACCAATCAGAAACACTAACAATATCATCAAGCTATTTGATAGTATTGGGCACTGTGAGAAGGTGGAATCGGCAACCAGTACCAATACCAGCAGATGACCCGGCACCTTTGTCTACCTGTAGGTTAAGTGTCCTCTCTGAAAGAACACAAAGTCTAAATTTTCTGGAACCTGGATTTCTGATTTTCACGAGCTGTAATCACAAAACATACAAACAGAAACTAAAGTCAGGTTGCAGACGTTCCTCTTTTAACTCAGGGTCCTTTGAGGAGTTAAAGTCGCTTGTCTTGCTGCAGGTTTCACTGGCTGAAGGGGTCAAACCGGGAGAGCAACGCCACAGTGGAGTGGCAGATTCCCCCGACGGCCTCGGCGGGCTCCTACAGGATCAAACACTTTGGCCACTACAAAGAGCTGAAAGGCCTGCAGCCGGTCATAACGCCGTACGAAGGCTCGTCGGACGTCTTCGCGGTCACCGCCAGCTTCTACTACGAGTGAAGCGGTTTGAGACGACACGGCCGACCACCATCCAGCGCCAAGTCCTCCAGGACTCATCAGATTTTAAGAGGCTGCATGTGCCGAAAAATAACTCAGACTATATGTGAAATCCAAATAAAGCGTTTAAACGTTCTGTGTGAAGGTTTGCATCACTCTGTGAGAGACAAAGAGAAACCGACACAAACATTTGCAGTCGCGTTGGTAGCAAAAATATTTATTCAGTATTTGTCTTTATAGATGCTTTTCAACCAGGACTGCACAACACGGGACAGAGTTGATGACCACAGCAGAGCCTGTGTGTCTAACGTGCACTCAGCGTTCAGAGCGGGAGGTTCAACCTCAGCCGGCTTTAAGATTCAAACGACAACATTAACACGATTCACCAGAGACGTCGGGGAAACACAGAACATCTCACGTTTCAGGAGAAGTGTTTGGAAAGGCTGGATTCTGCTCTGAATACTGACCTTAAATCCCGGGAACGCCGCCGACACACTGAGAGTGTAACGTGCAAAACATCAGGAAGCTTTTCGCTCGGTTGTTCTGAGAGTTTCCTCGAACGCACACGGCGGGGTTTCTTCTGATGTTAAAGAGCGCTGCAGTTTTCAGCTACTTGCCCTGCAGGCTCTCTTTTCTACAGGAGCTCCACCTGCACCGCCTGCATGCGCCTGCACCGCCTGCACCACCTGCATGCGCCTGCACCGCCTGCATGCGCCTGCACCGCCTGCATGCGCCTGCACCGCCTGCATGCGCCTGCACGCGCCTGTACCGCCGGCACGCGCCTGTACCGCCGGCACGCGCCTGTACCGCCTGCATGCGCCTGTACCGCCTGCACGCGCCTGCATGCGCCTGCACGCGCCTGTACCGCCTGCACGCGCCTGTACCGCCTGCATGCGCCTGCTTGCACCTGCACCGCCTGCATGCGCCTGCACCGCGACAGACTCCAGCAGCAACCCGTCGCTACAACAGCAACCTGAAAAAACTTAAATGTCCTTTTTCAGCATAAATCGCTCTGACTTAAATACATCTGCACCGGCACGAGTGACGCCTGAACGTCCCGCTTCAGTGACGCAAACGCTTCATTTCCTCCGTCTCCACGGCAACACACACCAGATGTCAGCGAAACTGACAGAACAAAAGAAACCAATGAAATGAGAAGATTCAGTGTGCGCTCACCAAAAATGGCCGCGCGTGTTTAACTCTGTGAACTTAACCCGAACACGTTTTGGTAGCTTCAGTGCTAAAACTCATCATGAATGATTGAAGAAGTCGCGTTCAGCAGCGACTCCGGGTCTCCTGGTGGTGTCGACCTGTACAGCCTCCACCTCTGGACGAACATGCAGTTTGTAGCTCTGACGTGCAATCAGGCGCGACGACACGCTGAAAGATTGACTAGATTTCACCTCCAGAGAGACGTCGTTTTCCATTGTTTGATTTCAACACGTGTTGAATTCACTGAGCTCAGCACTAATATCAATAAAATCATTTGATTATTAAATATTTCAGGTGGAGTTTCTGCAAAACACCATAAAGCAGAAGAACGCGGTCGCTTTAAACAGCTGATGTTTTGTCTCGTGACGCCGGCTAAACTCCGCCCTCCTGGTTTGTGTCCAATGAGCACGTTTCAGGAGGTTTCTGCCGTCTTTCAGCGCCGAGCTGCTGTTTGTTGATCTTATTGCTTTCCTGAGTGTGTTTCACATGGTTAACAAACACACACTTTGTGATTTTTAGCTTCCTCCACTAACGCCACAGCTTCCACCTGGACTCGAGCACATTCAGTTTATATGAAAAAGCTCAACGTGTGAGGAAAACGAGTTTCACGAGTTTCCCTCCGGACTGGGAGAAGTGATGCTGGCTCGGTTTAACTCGGGTTTTCCTCACATGGCGACTTCCTGTTTGCTGAGGAGGACTTCCAGCAGGCGCAGTTTGGCTTTCAGCTGTTTGTACTCCTGGTACTCCTCCTTCATCGGCGTTCGGTCCTCTTTCTGGCAGATTCTGTCCAACAAGCACAAATGACAGGAAACACAGGAGCGAGTTAACGAGGTTGCTGCCCGCACACGTCGCTCGTATAATCATCGAATAAAACCAGCTGCCGCTGCGTTAAAAGCTCCTGTTGTTAGTAAAGTTTGTGCTCACCTTCCGGTCTGTCGATAAAACTCGTCCTCGAACTCCTTCAGGACCTTCCGCCTCGCCTTCTTCTCGGCCCGGGTCTCCCGCAGACAGTCCAGCAGCTGAGACCTGGACCCAGGAACAGAAACTGAAAACCGGCCGCCGAGCGATTTACTGCACACGAAAGATGGACGCGGCTCCGTCGAGGTGTTTCATGGCCAATCACGCTCCTCTGCTTCAGATCAGCTGAGCAGAGGAGTCGCCCCCTGCTGGTCATTAGACAGAGTGCAGACTTTTCAGAAGGAGCTGCGTCCATCTTTTATATACAGACTGTAGTAGCGCCATGCTGCAGGCTGACTGTGAGGACCCTGAGCTCAGTCTGGCAGGCGCAGTTACGCCTGCAGGACTCGTCGTCTGACCGCAGCACGTCCACGTAAACATCGTGTCACACCAAGCTGCAGGAGCTGCACAGACCAGCTGCAGGTGAGCACTCAGACGTGTTTATTGCGTGTTTGTCACGTTTCATGAGCTGCTGAGTAGAAACTTCCTGTTAGCAGCCGTGTAACAGTAAAAGGTCAGATGCGTTGGGACGCACCGGACGCGTCTGTGGCACCGGCTCGGGTCACAGACGCTTCAAAGCCTCGCCGCACGTCACTTTTCACCCACCTGGAGGCTTCGTGCAGGTTCGCTGTGGTGAGAGCATCTTGCTGCCGGACGGCTTTCACCTCGTCTAACGGCGACACGAAGGCCGGGTCGCTGTCCCGGTCGCTGTCTTCCTCGCCGGCTGCTGGTTGGGCCGGTCTGCGCGGCGGCGGGACAGGAAGCTCATCGACGGCCAACGAACTCACGCAGTCTTCATCAGAACCATCCTCTTCCTCCTGAGACAGAAACAGAGCGTCCTTGTACTTAAACGCTCTTATGTAAAATCATCTCGACTACATAAACAACTCAAAGCTGCTGTTGTCACAGTGAGTTTGTCCTGAAGGTGGCGCTGCAGCAGGAGGACGATAAACCCCACGTTTCCGTTTTTCTCTGACGAAACTTTGTTTAGTTCGCACGTATGAAATCGCTGCTGCTGATGTTAAAACACGACAGGTGTGCGTCTTACGATAGTGCTGATGGTGGGGCTGGCACACAGCAAGTGTTTGATCATCTGGTAGCGGTCGTACAGAGGCTTCACCAGGTTCTTCTCCTGCTTCGTTCCCTGGGACACAACAAAGTGTCAATAAGCTCCTCTCGTGGAGTTGGAGAATAAAAACACGGCGTTGGAAACGAGGGGCTTCGATCCTGCTGGGTGTGTGTGGGGGAGGACTCACCGGCCGGCCGTGCAGACTCTCGAAGTACAGCAGACATTTCTGCAGAGTGATTTTCTCCAGCACCATCTGAGCCTGAGTCATCTCCTGCACACAGTCCAGAGGTGGCACCACATACGTCTGATATCAGAAAATTGGATATCTGCTGATACGGATGTGAACCTGATATAGTTACAATCAATAACGCTGTTTTTTCATGCTCCAGTTTAAGAAACAGAACATTAAAGCTGTTCTGTTATAATTTTATTAAACAAACATACGCTGCACCCAAAGTACTTCACAGTTCAGCCAAACTGATGTTTGTATTTAAACTTGAAGGACTTAAAGTAAAATTCAAAAAGTCATTTAAATGCAATTTAATGCAGATTTCAAAAACGTTGTTATAAACCATGTTTACACTCAAAAACTTCAAATGGAGCCTTTTATACTTACAGCTGAACATAAACAGAGTTTAAAGCCAATAAACAAACACACTCATGTTTGATCAGGATGATGTCAGTGTTTCTATCACCTTTAACCTGAGACTGAATTTTGTGTCATTTCTGTACAAAACTAAAGACTGAAAAAAGTGTTTTTCATAGTTTTTTCGAGCCATGAAACTGGCCAGGCGTCGTGCCGGTTTGTTTCCCCTGCGTGGGGCGCACACGCCGGGCTGTCCAAACAGGACCCCACATTCTTGATTTTTAGTTCAGCAACACTCCTCCTGAAACTTTGGAGTTTGAGCTCTTTGTACAGCAAAGTTACAGGAGGATAAAAATCATCATCAGTCGTTTGGTAAATAATCCCGTCACGAGAGAACAACAAATATATAACTTCCTGTTGTAACCCTCAAACTGAATGCTAATGTAACGACACTACTTCCACGTCTAATAGAGATGTGACGTCATTCAGGGGTAAAACCGCAAAGGATTGTGGGTACGAGTGGTAAGCGGTACTAGCGCACGCAGGCTTTCACGTGAAAACGGTCACACAGCGATAAAAAGAAACAAAAAATGGCAAGAAGCTGTTGTGTTATTAGCTGCAACAGCCGGTCGCATGACAGCCACGGGAAGCCGACGGTAAAGAGATCGTTGTTATCGGATTCCGTCGTGGAAGAAAAATCGTTCAAACCGAGTTTCCGAAGTAACAAAGAGGCGACGGACGGCCTGGATTGCAGCCGTTCGAAGAGCAAATATAACGTCCCAGAACGCTGCAGCTCACAGGTCAGTCTGCTCCAAGCATTCCCACAGAGGTCAGTCTGCTGTTGTAGTTATTACGTCATTTATCATAATTGGTGATGTAGGTTACAAATAAGTCTTAATTTGAATTGAATTCGTTGCTTTGCTGCTTTGTTCACTGTGGCTTTGCGGGCTAATGTTTGTTGTTCTTTGTAGGAAAAGCAGCCTACAAAATGCTGGGATGCGATCCAGACTGGGCCCCTCTATCAGCCTGGGTTTCAAGCTGCTACCACAGCCAGATCTGATTGGTGAAGAGAGAGCGAGATCAAAACAGCCACGTCTGCATATATGCGCCCAAGTGTTGTATGAAGCAAGTGATACTGTCTCAGTTTGTTGTTTGATGTTTTGTTTTTGCATTGTTGATTTGTTTTTCAGCGAAGCAGCTAATAAAGCTGATGGATTTCTACAATGTTGCCTCTTTGCTGTGAGATTCTGTAACAGAATGAAACAATGATGCCAGTAATAAATAAAGACAATGAATTGAATGAATTACCAAACACTTATTTTATTTCTATTGGATCTGAAAATGTTGTGTAACACTACAACCTGAAACGACACATAGATGCGTTGGCCTGTAACAGCAGCTGTGAGATGGAGTCGTCCAAACCACCAAAGTAAACTGGAGCTGGGCTTGTTGCAGGATCTGATGCTACCAAACATGTTGTGAGTGTGTGCGCTCTCACTTAGGACCATATAATAATAAACGTGATGAAAGTTGTGCAGCACGCTGACGTCCTTACTCCACTCTGTGCTCGTGTGGGTCTAACCCTTTCACTCCTTTGATTTCTTCCTCGTACTTTCTTTGACTCTTCGTCACGTCTGTCTTCGTGCGGAGCTGCCGAGTTCTCCGTCGTTTTGTACAGAACTGTTTTTGGGGCAAATAAAATGCAAGTGGGGATTAAACCGCAGAGGTAATGGTTACCGGTGCTGGAAATGCTGGCGCTTGATGCAGTGTTTTGATTTTGTTGCCACTCGTACCCACAATGCAACGCGCGAAAGTCACGTGGTCTGTCGATCTCTACTGTCTGTAATGGAGGCGGAGTTCCTGTTTGTGATATTTATTGGATCAGGTTACATTTTTATTTCTCCCCGATATCGGATCCAGTCATTGAGGCCAGGATGGGACCGGATCCTGTATATGGGACTGGTTGACCTCTAACAGAGTCGAGTCTGTGCGCGTGATAACGAACATTCAAAGTGAAACAAAATGAAACCTGATTCCTTTGATGAATCGAAGCGTTCGCTCACGCAGAGCCGAGCACCGACCTTCATGTTGTCAGGGAGACCCAGCGCCTGCCTCTTCTCTCTCAGCCGCCTGAACAGGGACTCCACCGTTTCCTCCAGAGCCGGTTTGTGCTCCGACGCCCCCTGCTGCCCCGCGCCGTACCTGCAGGATACAGGCAGCCGTCACTGAAGCACCAAAGCCTGCAGTTCCTCTAGCATCCAGCAGAGGCAGCATGTTAAAACCTTCCAGCTCTGCTGCAGTAACTCTGCGCACAAACTACTCGAACAGTTACTGAGTCAGCACAGGGTTAGTGAAGTCGGTTACCTGCAGACGTCTGCGCTTTCCTGCTCCTTCGACTCGAACACCGACTGCCTGAGTCTCAGCTCTGCAGAGGAAACACAGTCACACATTACCATGAACCAGTTCAGCAGTCAGTGAACTGAAACCAGAAACACAGAGGTCACAGTTTTACTGTCAGTTTGGCAGGAGCCTGATCGCAGCTCAGCTGATGAGCACGTTTACTGAGACTCCAGCTGCTGCTGTCAAACACGTGGCTGCAGCCTGCGCCCACAACAGACGCTGAACCTGAACCGAGCCTGCGACCGTCACCTTTGAGCTGCTTGCGAGCCTTGGCCAGTTCGCCCATCACTCGGATCATCTCCGGGTTCGAGTACTTGTCGTTGTGGGACGGCTGAAACAGAAGACGACAGAAATCAAATGATGCAGTAAAGAGCGATGACGTTTACGACTCTTTAACGCTGTGCCGTGAGTCTGACAGCGCCCCCTCCTGGATCTACCTTGTAGTTCATCTCCTGCTCAAACTGGTCCTCAAACCTGCGGACCTTCTTCTTCAGGGTCTGGATGTGTCTCGTGAGGAAGGGCACGGACGAGGGACGCTCGCCCTCCGAGTCCTGCGTCCTGTCGCCCCGACACCTGAACACAAACACAGCGCTCAGATTCAGCAGGCGGGCATCATCGGGTACGAGCACGCCACCACCCCACAGGGATATATCCAGATATATTTATCAAAGAGATTTAACATTTTTAAGATTAGCAGGACACACACGGCTTTGAGCCTGAACGCGGGAACCGTCACGTTATCCAACGCCAGCGTGTCACAGACACAGACAGGAAGTAGCTGTCGGTGAAACAACAAAGACGAGAAAACTGGGTCACAGCTTCAGGCAGTGGCTCACAAACCGAAGATGATGATGATGAAGGACGGATTATATAAGCCGCACTAATGCGGGTCAAACACAAACCACTCCACTGCACTCTCCCCGCCAATCACATGACATCGAGCACAAAACAGCTTCAAGCAGCCTGAAACTGGAAACCAGAGCAAAGAGTCCAGTTGGTCCTGGAGCCAGGACCACCAGGGTCCAGATCCAGGACCACCAGGGTCCAGATCCAGGACCACCAGGGTCCAGATCCAGGCTGTGCAGCACGGGTGGAAGCAGACATAAACGTACACAGACATCATTTAAAGGAAAACAAAGCAGGAAGTCCAGATGAACATCAGAGCGCCCCCCTCAGAGCAGCACTCACAGGATGTACTGCTGGCTGCACGGCGGCGACGGGGCGGAGTCCGGGTCCGAGTTAAACCTCTGACATGGGCTGGAGCAGCGGGGGGAGGGCAGGGGGCTGGCACCTCCCGCCAGCAGCTGGAGGAGAGCTCCGCCTCCATCTGAGCCGTGTCCACCTTCACCTCCGGGGCTGCTCCTCTGAGGAGAGTAGGGGGAGTGGTGGGGGCTCGGCGGCGTCACTACGTCGGGGGTCGGGGGCTGCTGGCCGGGGTGGATGGCGGTTAACGGCGGGTGTCGCGGGGACTGTGGCGGTCTGGTCAGGAACGTCAGCAGCTCTGCAGACACACAAAACACAATCAGGTCAGCCTCCTCCTCCCAGCAGTGCTGTCAGCTTACAGTAACTATAATTATCTCTAAATTGCTTTATATACCACATGTATGTAAATATATATCACTGCAGCCTAACGCTGAGCAGCTGTGGGAACAGTTAGCTAATCGAACACTAAGATAAGATAAGATAACCTTTATTAGTCCCACACGTGGGAAATTTGTTAACACTGATCCAGTTTTACCTTCAGCTGTGTTTCAGTGAAGCTGAACTCTCTAATTCTGTGACATCATACAGCTGATACCATCGTGCTGACACAATCCTACCCGCTTATACCTTTACAGCTGTTTTAGGCCAACGACAGGAAGTTAACAGGTTAGTTTCTGTGTTTAGAGAATCAGGACAGGAAGTTCAGAACATCAAAACTCTGTCACGCCCATTCATCGACGGCGCGCTCCATCACTGCGTTGCTCCTCTGTGCTGTCAACGGTCATCATCACTCCAACAAGGGTCCGAATGCCAAAGCTCAGTCTGCTGCCTGTTTCTATTGTTTTCAGCGGATTCAATAAAAAGTGTTTGAAACTCGGAGAATGCCGAGAAGCCTGCAGCTGCCGAACAGTCAAAATGACTAAAATAACACTCTCACCACTGCTACGACCTTCCAGAACCTCTGGACCCAACTGAGAACCACATGTAGCAGAGGTGTCAAACATAAGGCCCAGGGCCCTGAATCAGCCCGCTAAAGACTCTAAACCGGCCCACTGGATGTGAGGGAATGATGGATGTTTGTATTCCTCTAAGTTTTACAAGCTCCATTTTTCACTATTGACTGTAGAAATGAAGTTTTTGTGCAAACGTTTCTGTAAATTCACAGAAGCTTGTTTGTAATAGCAGCGTGCACAGACACACACACGCACGCACACACAGTGTGTGAACAGTTATCTCAGCTAATGCTTCGTGTGCAGGTAAACTGGAAGGTGTGTGTGTGTGTGTGTGTGTCTGCGTACAGGGTCTGGATCATCTCCAATGATAACACACACACATACAAAACAACAGTTTATAAACACACACAGACTGACAGGTGTGTGTACTAGTGATGGGTCGTTCGCGAACGAAATGGCTCTTAGAGCCGGCTCTTTGACGTGAACGACGCGAGCCGGCTCCTTATCGCGAGCCGTCACGTGGGGTTTTTTTTTTTTCTTTCTCTCAGCCTCTCTCTCGCACTTTTTTCCCGCTTCACTCTGCACGCGAGCCTTGTGCTTTACGCTGGGCAGAGGGGGAGGGGCGGTAGTTACACTCAGTAGCACAGGAACAGAGCCAGAGAGAGAGAAAGAGAGGCAGGGACAACAACATTAGAAAGGTATAGTAATCATCCACAACTATTTTCGGTTGCAGATGATAAAGGATTGAGAAAGTTTATTCATGCAGGTCCATATGACAGAGAATATGCATGTTCTTTTAGTTTTCATATTATAATTTATATTTAATTGTGTTGTGGTTTGCAGTGTTTTGTGTTCTTTTCACTTTAAATTTGTGAAAGGAAAAAGCTGAAAATTTAAATAGTTAAAACTTGAAATGTGAATAGTTGATTTTTGTATTATATAATAATAATGGATACTTTATTGATCCCCATGGGGAAATTACTTGTTTTTCTCTGCATTTGACCCATTCACTCAGTGAAGCAGTGGGCAGCCCACTAAGCAGGCGCCCGGGGAGCAGTGTGTAGGGACGGTACCTTGCTCAGGGGTACCTCAGGGTAGCCGTTAAGTGGATTCGAACCGCCGACCTTCCGATCATGGGGCGACCACTTTACCTACTGAGCTATCCCTGCCCTATATGATTTATTTATTACATTTTATGTGGAGTGAATAAATAAAAGTATATTTACGGTGGCCCCTAGAGACAAAGCACATACAAACTTCAAATCACGTACGAACTCTGAAGCATGTACAAACTCCAAAACACGTAAAAACACGTACAAACTCCAAAACACGTACAAACTCCGAAGCACGTAAAAACACGTACAAACTCCAAAACACGTAAAAACTCCAAAACACGTAAAAACACGTACAAACTCCGAAGCACGTAAAAACTCAGAAGCATATAAAAACTCAGAAGCATATAAAAACTCAGAAGCACATAAAAACTCAAAACACGTACAAAAGACAACAGAAGTGCTCCAGGATGCTGGGCGCAGTGTTGAGCCTTTGTTATCTTGTGGCTACACAAGCCAGCAAGTACCAACGACCGGATTTGGTGTGTGGTAATAACAGGTAAATGAACTTTTTTTTAAATTATTTGAATATATATATGAGTGCCTGTGTATAAATACACAAACAATACACACATGCTTTCAATTGTGTAATTTAAGTGATCTAGTAGCTCTGCTTTGGAAGTTCAGTTCATGCTAGAAATGTGTTTTGGAGTTTGTACGTGTTTTGTCTCTAGGGGCCACCGCATATATTTATATATAAACATATATAAATAAAACCACTTGTTTTTACGTTAGTAATTCCTTTTGTGCATAATTTTATATTATTGTTAATAATAAATTAATTAAAGCAACAAAACAACCTGAAGAGCCGGTTCGGAGCCGAAAGAGCCGGCTCTTTTTAGTGAGCCGAACCGAAAGATCCGGATCTCTAAAAAGAGCCGGAAATCCCATCACTAGTGTGTACCTGGCGGGCTGTTCTCGTCTGCAGGGACGCCGTGACAAAGCGCCAGCGTCTTCGCCTCCTTCCCTCCGAGCTCGGCCCGACCACGGGGGCTCTTCTGCTCCTTGCTGCCCAGAGGAGGGGGGCTCTCCTCGGGGGATGACCCCAGCGATGTCCCCCCCTCCACCTCCAGAGCCTGGAGCTTCTGCAGGGAACTCTGCAGGCAGAAGCAGAACATGCCAGACACGCTGGTCCAGAGATTAACCAGGTTCCAGGCGCAGTGTGTCTGTGTGTGTTTGTGTGTGTGAGGTGAATGTAGGGCAGTGAGGCACTGTTACAATGAAAGACTCCAGATATTAGCCAGATCTCTGATACGTCACATGTGGAAGCACAGAGCGGGGGCTTAGTGTTCAGGAAACAGTCTTATCCCACAGTTTTAAAGCATAAGTCAATGAGCCTCCCTTCCAGGAATTACACCAGCACCATCCAGAAAAACACGTCTCCCTCCAGCTCTTCCAGATATTAGTCACGTACAGACAAATGCACACACTCTCCAGGAGCTAGCCAGTGCAGGTGAAATCCACCAGCATGCAGAAATATTCACTCCGCTGATTCTCTCCCACTCCAGGAATTAGCCATCCCCGGGTGGACGCCGCTCAGCAGTGAGAGACCTGCAGGACGGGTTTGAATCTTCATCCTCTGCCTCTGCACGTTCACTGATGATGATGCTGGTATCCTCCCTCACTCACTCCGTCTGCAGCTCTCGCCCTTCCTCCCTGCTTGGATTACTCATCCTCAGGCTCGTGAGGAGAGGAGGGAGCAAGGATGCAGGAGGAGGAGGAGGGGGAGAGGGATGTCTGCCCTCTCTCTCCCCCTGAGGAGGAGACGGCTGGGTGAGAGACATCTGAAGACAGGAGGATGCCGCTCTCTCTCTGGTCATGAGGCTTCTCCCGCATCGGTGGGGGAGGGGCTTCCTGCTGACATCATCGTGTGTGAGTACGTGTTTAATTCTCATTCATAAAAACAGGAGAGGAGGAGCAGTTACGTGCTTCTCCTCACACATCCAAAAACTGAACACGCAGTGACACGTCCCCACAGCGTTTCTATGGAAACACTGCATGCTGTACGAGTTTGACGTGTCAGGCGCTCACACCGCGACCATTTACAGACTGTACATAAAAGACGGAGGCTCGTCAGCCTCTTCCTGTATCATCCTGCATCCATGGCGACACCTGCCAGTCACAGAGGCCACGCCCCCAACAATTGCAAACTTTAAACCGGTGAGTAAGTCATATGTAGGGGCTGCATGTCACCTGCGCCCCTACATATGACAGAAGTAGCCCCACAGGTGACGTGTTTCTGCCTGTGACACACGCGGGAACGAAACAGAGGAGACTAACATGGTCACTGGCGCGAGGAATACACGCACGGTCGTGAAGCGTTCGCAATTATTTATTTATCAGTCATTTTAAAATGCCATTCATAAAATGTATTACTCGTTATTTTTGTCATGATCTGGTGAAACAGCGCCCCCACCCAGGCATTCTGTTCACTTCAGGCGGAGAGTGGTACTGCAGCGCTCTCCGTCCACATCGTGTAGACGGGAGAAGCGGGAAAACGCGGGGATAAAATGGCAGCTGTATTTAAAGAGGAGCTCTCAGATGGATGATGTGTTGTTGGCCGAATTACAGAATATGACCTAATACTTCCAGAAAAGCTCGCGAATCTCATTTATTTTTTACATCTGCTCGGAAACCCGCGCCCGTGCCTTTCACTACGCCGGCTTTTGAGCAGAGTTCCGCTGATACGGCCATCATCAGCTCACAGAGGAGAAACGGCGGGAAGAACGGTACTGTCCTTCAAATTAAAAGTCGCCAACTCAACAATTTTCAATTTTCTACCGACATAAAGTCGCTGATCAGCGGGGTTGTTGGATCATGTCACGTGTTTAATATTTCATACTGATTAGAAATGTGACTGCTGGAAGAAAACAAATCTACAACCTCAGGCGACAACACCCGGAGGTTGTTTCAAAATAAAAGTTGCAAACCCATCTCTTTGCTGTTCAGTTTCTGAGGTCTGTGGTTCGAGTCCGTCCTTCCAGCCCTGCCTTTCCTGACTTGTGATTTTAGGATGATATTTAATAATTAATGATGAATTTATTTTGGCTGCGATCAATAATTCAGCACTGTTTCACTAACATCCATCTAGTTATTGTTCAAAGCAACAAATGTTCAGCTTCTTGACATTATAAATGTTACCTATATTTGTAAATGTGTATTTTAACTAATGAACTTTGCTGTTCATACATTTTATTTTGTCTTCCTCGTGCTTTGTAAATGTGATCTCTACCTGAATGTAATTCTCACTTTAAATAAAGATGTAATTTAACCCTGGATTCACATGTAGTATTCTTAATTGTTCATGCTGAGAACTTGGCGATAACTGCCATGAAGCCACGTCTCGCTTGGAAATCTCGTCTTAAGGGTGTCATGAAGCGCTACACTTGAAGGCTCATTTACCCCGGTGTGGACTCACAAACGCACAAGCACCATTGCGCCTCCTTCAGGTGTTTAAATGCACCAGTACCTGTGCACCCTCCTCACACTCCCATATTTCATGTTAATAATATATTTTATTGTGTTGTGGGCTGGAACAACGTCAGAATTTTGAATGTCATTTTCTTCTTTTGCTTCATTTTATAAATAAAAAACAGAAACGTTGTTTTTTTACAGCTTTTATTTTTTTAAACAGATTGAGCAGCTTTGGCAAAGAGTTTTTCTGTTAACAGTCATCACCGTAAAGCTTTTTCCACTGAGAGACGGAAAGAGTCAGAAGGCTTCTTCAGCTACTGCAACAGCCACTGTAGCAAAGGTAATAATAACAATAATAATAATAATAACAAACAACTGAAAACATCATCAAAACACAATATCCCCAGTATATACAAATAAACCAATGACACTTGAGCTTCATCACACAAACACAAAGCATCATGACTTTGATATAAACATGAATATTTCTCCTTCTGGTCCAAATACGTGTCTTATTTATTTTGTGCATTTTATTGTCGTCGGACTCTGATTGTCCCCATCAGGAGTATTTTAGCTCTGTCCAGCAGATGGAGCCAGTCAGTCAGAGGAAACAGATATTTCTCCGTTTTGAGTAAAGTATGACCTGTGATTGAAAATTCTAGTTTGAGGTTTTTAGACTATGAAGTCGTCCTCCACTTCAAACTACTCAGATATAATAGGAAATTACTGATAATTAGCGAGGCTCGTAGGTGGTGTTGTTCTCCACATCCCAGAAACCATCAGTGAGGTCTCCATCCCTCACTGGACTCCCACCTTCATGTTTTTCCACTGGAATATTTGCTGGAAAAGCCCAGCACAGGCTACTTTGTGGAAGTCTGACTGTGTGCTGCCCTCTGCCGGTGAAAACTGAACATACTGTTGTTGTCATGCAGAACTCACAGACGTCACATCACTGATCATTCTACAGAAAAACCACAGCGAAATCCGACTGCTGAAGATAAAGACTTCATAACAAACTGGAGACTGTTAGCTGCTTTTACAAAAGGCCACAAAAACACGTCATCAGTACAAATTTAAATTACTGCAAATTTGATCTTTTCATCTCATGTTTGGAAGCAAACAAACTGCAGACTCATCAACTCAACAATACTAGAGGTCCACTTTGTGACGGAGTTACTGTCAGCATGAAGACGTAACGGAAGCTATTTTTTCTCCACCTGTCCACCGCCAAGTCGTAGACGCGTCATCCTAACGTGTTCTGAACAAAAAGGTTTTGATGCATTGCAAAAAAATGGAAACACTCCAGAAACCTGCACAGTTTTAAACGTCTTCAGACCAACAGCTCAGAAGAAATCAAAGCACGCTGTCTAATTCATGTCCAAAAAACATGGAGGAAGTCTTGGAAAATTGTTCAAAACATCAGTTCTCATGCAGCAATTCAAAGACTCACAATATAAAGAATGACAGAAAGGAAAGCTTAAAGAAATGTTTGCATCACTACCCCGTCATCCTTTGGGGGTGAAGATCGCTACTACGCCCAGCATTGTTTTCTTTCTATCCGTCTTTGGATCTGAAGTTCCAGAAAATGAAACAGGAAGTGAAGGCATCATGGTGACCTCAGGTTTGTGTGTTCGGTCTCAGTTTGTCTTTATTTCACTCGGTGCGGTTCTTCACGCCACAGAGGAACATAACCGTCCTCCAGCCCTCTGTGAGGGTCTCCAGAACCTTCCAAATCTACCACCTAATCAAACAGCAAGCAGTAGGAGAGTGATCTCCCCCTGAGGGGGTCAAAGTTCAACTGTCAGTTATCAAGGCCACTTGAGAGAAGCACAAGTTTTCCACTTGTAGGAAAAGCAGGACTATGATGCCTTCAGTGTCTTCAGGAAGTATGGGAAGGATGACTCGACGTTGTTCTCGGATTGTGAAAGTGATGCTGTCACAGGGGAAGTATGCAGGAGGGCTTCTGGTTTAAGTCCTCACAGGGTAACCTTGTGTTGACGTTACTAAAAGTAATTATCATAAATAAGTCCTTCGGTCTGTGGAACCACGGAGGACCTGGGGCCTTGGAGAAGTTCCCCACTTTGGTAGGTTGGTAATCTAGCCTTGTTCATTGCTGCCAGAAACACTTTGGGATGATTTTGTTGAACTGTCAAGATGTCAGGTATCTTTGATGAAAGCAGACATCAGATCTATGGTAAACATCACTTCCTGTGAAACGTGTCGGTTGAATGAGGATCCAAAAAGGCCTGTGCTGTGTCACTAACTCAAGGCATTTGTTTTGTCTCTAAGGAACATCCAATTATTTCTTCTGTATTGTGTGGATGAAGTTACTGCACAGTCTTGGCTGCTGTATACAGGCTGAAGGAGCAGCCGGTTAACGTAACGAGAAATTGTTTATGTGTTAATCAAACTCATTTCCTGATTTCAGAGGGCTGAAAGAAGTTGTTTTACAGCAACATATGGGACAGAAACTCTTGCAGCAGTAAACGGCACATAAAGATAGAGCTGCGCAGGTCGTTGACTTCTGTTGGAGGGACATGACCAAAGTTCATCTGTAGCCAAACAAGGAATCAGGCTTCTTTGGGTTCATGAGATATTCAGAGGCATCACTGACTTTTTCTATGCTGTAGATCCTTTTTTGTAGCTGTACCGTTAACCTCCCGGGGTCCCGACAGGTTTCTAAAAGCTGACATCATTTCTGTTGTAAAAGTTAAAAACATGCTTTTATCTATTTGCTGAAAATCACCCTCAAAGCAAAAGATGTTTGTAGGACTGACTTCGTGCCCCGAGTGCCTCGAGAAATCATCCTACATTGTCTTAATATGAAAAAAGAACAAACGTGTGATGTTAAGAGGCAGTTTGTTTGATGCCTGAACTGCTTCAGCTTCCTGCTCTCAGGTGTGATGGTGGGTGGGTTCCTCTTGTTAGCAGAGACCAGCTTGACCAGTTCGACCAAGGAAAGGCCTGGAGTCCATTTCCCTTTATGAACTTCCATGCACTAGGTCCTCAAATCCTCAGCGTTTGACTCCTAGAAGTTTACAGCCATGCTTAGAACAACACAATCACTTCAGGTAGGATATTTCACCAAGATGCCCACGCAGCCTTTGTTCAGCCCGCTGAGAAGTCATCGTCTTCTTCATAAAGTGTCAAGCTCTGGGTGTTGGTGTAAACTGATGGCTGCCACTTTAGAAGTCATAGTCCCACCCAGAGTTGTCATCTGGTGGTGGTTCATCTGTGTCTTCAGGGAAACTGTCAAAGTTGCTCGTATCAATCGCAGAGGAGACCTGGACAGAAGGTGAAACAATAAAACCCCTTTAAAACCTGCAGACCGATCAAAGCAAACTTTGAATGACTTTAACAGTTTACACAGAAGTCACAACTTTACAGGGGTGGAGAGAGAAATCGACCGAGAAGCTCGAGGTGACGATGGGGAGGACCTGTTTGAAGCTAAAGGAACTCTTCACAACAGATTTAACGTTGTGCCAGTTTGAATACGTATAAGTTACACCAGAAAAGCCGAGAGGTTCAGTCTCTGGAGCGTGTCCTGGTTCCATCTGGGTTCTTCCCGGTTGGACATGCACCAAATATAAATTTGCCTTCGATTACGTTCCTTCATTCTCTTCGGTACTTTTTGTGAGAGACGAAGAAACAGGAAATGAGAGGAGTAAAACACGAGTAATATGTGCACAAAATGTCAAGACCCAAACTAAAACTGACCTCATGGCTGAGGGTCCATGTAAATATGGAGAGCTGTCCGTTTCACAGTGATGAGATAAACTCACAGGTCCGTTTACTAACTTTCATGGGTGGAATTCAATAATTTCACTTATAAACTTGTTCTAGCAGGGATGGTAATCCCCGT